TTTAATGTCAGTGCACATTGTGGCCGTACTTCATCAGCCGTAGCTTCGTCTTACCCCATAGTGCTATTTCTATTTTAGGGATGACATCCTCAGGTTTCAGCTTGTCTACTGATACATTCAAATTTAGTCCCTTTCCTAATACACTTATTTCCGTAGGACTTAATATATGTGTTCACAGATTGATAACCCACTTTGATTTATCGATCGCCGTTGACTTTGGATTGTTGACTTCATCATTCTGAGATGAAGTTTTGCACTAATGAATATTTTATCATACCATGTGTATAATGCGTCCATGCGATATATGTAGATTTTTTTAAACATTGTTTATAGATTCATATTTTCCCTGATATACATTTATGTACTTGTCGAAAATTAGCCAACTTTAGGGTTTTGTCCATTACTAATCATATTCCCATTTTCACTACATTCGATGTTAATGTACGAGTTACCGTTTTTTGAGACTTTGATCTTTGGAGTTATTCATTATATGCTTTTCAGTAGTCAAATACTGGATAGTTCCATGTATTAGTAGGGTGCTGGGGAAATTTTTATACCATCCTATCCGTACTACCATTTTCGTCACTTAACACCAATTGCAATAAACGAACTAATTGAAGATTGCTTGACGCTCCTTCTGGTCAGTTTTAATGTAACGACTGATTGTTTTTGTACACACAAAGGGACCTAAGGAATGGATGGCTATTGCTTCAACATATTTCACCATTCTCCTGACAGTTTCTATATGATTCTTAAGTGCCGTTTTACGTCCATCTATTGATTCACAACCGTAATGGGATTTTCATTGACGAGGATGGTAGTGCTTCACTTGCATCCATACGAGCTGTAGGGTACAATAGTTATTCAAGTCCCACTCCCATCCTTACTTGCTGGTGTAATTAACACTCCTTACGTTTGTGTTTGCATATGCACGTGCAAATTCCTACATATTGGCATGCAGAGTTTCCTCTTCTAAACCACGCCTAGCTACATACTATGTTTTGCTGACAGCTTTCGGTTTCTTCAAAATCATATTCTATATGAACTTCTTTGGGATAGTGTAAGTGTATGCTTTAAATTTGACTGTATTCTATACTTTTGTAAAAAAAACTTGTGAGATTATCCGTCTTCTCCTTAGCATAGGAGTGAGTATTTCTCTGTCACCATCTTTGATATCAGTTACAGAGGTATTCTGGATCCTACTAAATAAGTATTTAATCAAGCTTTTTTGTATTGTATTGGATAGGAACTTTGAAAACAGATATACAACCTCGTCCCAGTAGACTTTCTACCAATGCACCGTTATAAGGAGTCATTTCTTCTGCTTAAAAGTATGTTTGAAAATGCAAGCTAATCGCCGTTTTCTTGCTCATATATAAGCTTAATGTTACCTTGGGTGGTATTTTAATTGACATGCAACATCATCAACATACACATTCCTGATTACCAAATACTATTATAGAATAAACAAATTCACTACTTCAGGCATAAACATTTTTTTCTGTACTGTATATATATATGTATGTATATATATATATATATATATATATATATATATATATGAGCAAATAAATGTTCGTTTGTGTATGTGTGTCGGTGTTTAGCATATATGTACTTATCTGCATCTTATTGAACTTAAGTGTTCTGGTTCATTCCCCTCTTAAATAGTTTGCACTTTACAGGCATATATATATATATATGCATCGACTCACTCAGATGTGTATTTCATCTACCTCTCTCGCGTCATCTTATTTACATATAAGCTTTTGAAATATAATGTCACACTCTTTTCTGCCATCTAGTCATTGACATTTCAATAATCCAGTTCATAATGTCGGGAAAAAGTCAATTAACTATTATAAAATTTCTGTTGTAATATAAGTAACTAGTAGTTATACATTTTTCTTAATATATGTGTGTGCTCTAAATCAACGTATAACATATTACCTGTTCTGCTTTCAATCAATTAATTATCTCTACAAGTTTCTGTATGTGGGCATATCTGAATACCTGAACTCATTAACTGAAATATTTAGATACAGACTATATTTGTTATCCTGATTTCATTTATACAATTGTGACTTGTCTTTAAACAGGCAACTATGTATTTTTTCACGTGCTCATCCATTAGAATACAGTGTAAAGTTGCGGCTTCTCCAATGCTAATCAGTCTCTGTCTACAGTAGTATGACGTGCTTATCTCAATTTTTGACTAGTATCTTATAGGATCAAGCCCACTAAGCGTTATATCGGTTATAGAAGCAATTTTTTTTTCTCGCTCAATATATAGACACGTGTAAGATGTTCCTAGTTTCACTAACTATTTACTTATGTTATGGTTTACGTTATGGTACACATGTATATCGCTTTTTATATATAATGGGGTAATATATACTTCTTTCATATTCCGATTAGACTTTGAATTTGATTAACAGTTTTTAACGTCTATTATACTATGTCCTTCTACCAATGGCGTTCATAATGTTGAGCTTAAAATTCTGTTACTTACCACTTACTGATAAATGAATAACAGATGCTACTGCCGATAAAATGATAATTAAACTCCTTGGTACTACTTGTATCTTCTGAGTGATCGGAAAAGTCATCCTAATATATACACAGTTAAATTAAATGATGATTAATTAATTAATGATCACGGATGCACACAATAGGATTAAAAAATACCAGCATATGATTGGATTCCATAAAGAACATCTGTCAACATTGAATACTGCCATTAAAATATTAAGCGAACGACACAAGGAATGAAGACGAGTCTTCCTCAGAGGAAAACTAGCTAAGATATCCAAACAACCGTCTGAAGAAACTTTAAATGATTGCGTAGTAAATCTATCGAAACAACCATTATCGAAAGCAAAAGAACAACTTCTTCAGAAAGGACTGAACTACAATACTGGTGACGCTTCAGTAACATATTTCTGTGCTTCCTTAGAATCATCACTCAAATTATCAATATTAAATGAGGAAGTACACCAAGAAATACGTCAATGTATCATAGCTATAATCAAACAGAAAAGACATAATTCCCAACTTAGCACTGAAGAACAAAATGCATTGAAGAAACTGAAGAATAGAAAAGATATAGCTATTCTACGGGCTTATAAAGGAGAAGCAACAGTAATCCTGGACACAGAAGACTACATAAAGAAAGCAGAGGATTTACTCAAAGATAATAATGTATATCAACAGTTGACAAGAAACCCTATACAAACATTAGGTAACAAAATCAGAACAACGTTAAATAAACTAACGAAATCAGGACAAATTACAGAACAAGATCAATGGTGAATAAAATCTAACGGACCTATTTTACCTCGATTCTATTGTAGACCAAAACTACACAAACCAAACATTCCCTCACGACCAATCGTTTCGCTTCCAGGAACACCAACAAATTTCTTAATTCGATATTATGCAAACCGAAAGATCCAACAGAAAAAGGAGATAAAATTAATACCATTTACAAAATAAATTGTATGAACTGCAACAAGCATTACATCGGCCAAAGTGGGCATCCCCTTCAAATTAAAATCCGAGAACACAAATCAGCCGTAAAAAGACACGATATGTATTCTTTAGTATCTATGCATACAGACAATAATGGTCATCAATTTAATTGGGATAATGTCAAAATTTTAGACAGAGGAAACACCAAAAGTGCCAGGGAATTCCTGGAAGCCTGGTACTTAAACGAAAATGCAATTAACAAACACGTTAATATAGATGAAATATACCAACTAATAAAAAGTAAATCAGGTGACCAGAAAGATGGTTGCCAGGAGACGGAATTATATCACTCATGAAGAAATTTAAATCGTTTCGCTTTATGCTAAATATTTCGCTGAAGATGTTGTGCAGCTAAACTAATCATCTCAGAAAACACTTTTAATTCAATACACAGTTGCTTTTATGTCAATCAAAGTCACATAGTATCTAAAGTAATTTCAAGGTCCAGCATTATTCACTGCAAATAAATTTTATTATCCTGTAGGCAACATGCTGTGAGTTGATTTTTGAATTGCAAACATCACAGGTACACCAATCATTCAATGCTACACATTTGTTTCATAACGTTGGATCTCTGCACACAGTGCGTCGGTGGCACAGTGGTTAGGACTCTCGCCGACCATGCACATGGTCCGGGGTTCGATCCCCTGCCGGCTCACACCCGATATCTGTGGTCGGCCTGTAAATTTGGGTTACCGATATCCATGCTGAAAATTCCATACTTGTACTGAAAATACGGTGTGGAATGAAGCTGTAATCAAAAAATAATAAATTAAAAATATAAAAAAATTATCGGATCTTTTTAATAGGTGTGAACAAAATACATTGAAATATGGTTTAGAAAATGTAGCCGGATATATTTTCCAATATTATAGGTGCCTTCACACTGGTGGATAAATATTCGTATCTTCCACTCTCCGGATTAGAATCCTCCTATTATTTTGTGCTACATATCTCTACCATCCAGTATTCGTACTTCGTCTAGGATAAGGCGACATCACATCGTTAACTGTGTTGAAGCGGTCGGATATATCTTAGATGGAGAATTCAAAGATAGTTTATATCTCTTCGTTTTGTTCATCACACGGATAGGATCATAACAATAGTTAGTATTTTGACATATATATTATAATGGGACCTAGTGCATTAAAGCTAACATTGGTTAGGTTGTATTCATTACTGTTTCTGAATAACCGTGGACACTTAGTTTCAGCACCTTAAACAACCATAATTCTGACGCTCAACAAAGGAACACATTTTTCTAAATGTATTTCATAATATTTTTGCCTGAATTTAACTGTATTCGTACATCGCTTGAATACTCTCTGGCTTTTATCGCTCTAAATTTAATTAACAGACAACCCTTATTTCTTTTTTTGTGTTCGTTTGTGCATCAACAGATATATGCAGTGTTTATTCCAATAGATAAGTGTAATGGTTATTTATGTTGTATTATTTGTTCTATCTTATAGGCACACAAGACTGTATGGTACAAACAGACAATAGTTGCTTTTATAACTCAGTCCTTACTCCATCTGTCAGATTATCTGCTTTAAATATGGTGAATAGTGCGCTACAAAGAATTGGAGTAAGTTCATGGGAAATGCTTAGAAATCTTCATTTCTCTCTCTCTCTCTCTTTGTTTCCATGTCTTTTATGTATTGCACTTTTCAGATACCTCCTGTTTGTCGATTTCGAATATTTCCTTTTTCCTTTTCACAACTCCGTCTGTCTCTTGGTTATTCAGTATTCACTCCTAGCCGACTGCTTCATGGCGAGTCTCGAAAACAACATCCTCAATCCCTTGATAAGTCAACTGCACTTATACAAAAGATACGTAGATGACACGTTTATAATCTGTGATGAAAATTGTGATTTAGATTCTCTCCTCAAAACCTTCAACGCATCGCATCCATCAATAAGTTTCACCTTAGAAAGGGAATCGAACAACGCATTTCCATTCCTTGATGTACTACTCACCAGACGACACGACTGTACGATCCAAAGATCAATATACCGCAAGCCAACATGGACTGGACAGTTTATCAACTTCCACAGCTTCGTCCCACTAATCCGAAAGAGAAACCTGGTACGTACGTTGTGCTCAAGGATTAGAAAAATCTACTCGGAAGACATGGTGGAGAAAGAATCAAAATTTATTACGTGAAACCCTACTAGAGAATGGGTATCCACCGAGATTTATTGACAAAACATGTCAAACATCGCAACGGTTCCTAAGAAGACTCTCTTCATGAACCTAGAATTCAAAGGTGATGTTGCAGCGGAAATTCTCAGAAACCGCCTTTCTAAATGTCTGAAGAAGACATTTCCAACAGCCACTCTACGTATCACATTTTCCTGCAGACAGTTAATCCAGTCTAACGCTAAGGACAAGATACCGCTTTTGGCCACCTCAATGTGTATTTATCAATTTACTTGCTCGTGTGGAGCAAAGTATATTAGCCGTACGCAATGTCAAGTCCAAAAACGTATTCTGGAACACTTCTCAGCTTGGTTGGCCAGAGGAGAAAAGAAGAATAGCAACACCTCGGTGGCATAGCGGTTAGGATGTTCGCCAACCATGCACATGGTCCGGGGTTCGGTCCCCGGCCGACGCACTCCTTTACCTCGCTAAGCCAGAAATAATGCTGGTCAAGAGGAAAGGTTGGGCATGAGGCTAGCAACCCCATCCTGTAAAAATAAACACCGCTACAGAAACTTCAAGCCACTAGCTTGAAGCCCTATGTTCCACTGGGGAACGTGAAGGAAAAAATAATAATAATAATAACACCTCGATCCTCGGACACCTTGTCATCTCTGGACATCGAGCACCCCCACATGAATGCTTCACAGTGTTACACAGAGTCCCTCAATATCGTACAAAGGGACTTCGGATTCGCCATCTGTACATAGCTGAAGCATTAGCTATTCGAGATCTGAAGCCGGACCTCTGCATCCAAAAGCGATACATACATTCTCTAGCCTTACCATGGCCAGAGTAAAGTTCTTATGACAATTTTGCTTCTTTCCTTTATTATTTAAGTTCACTATTATTACCATTATTATTTTATTTTATTAATACTTTTATTATCATTTTTGTCCCCATCATCCACATTTTATTACCACTATATTACTGTTTATTAATAACATTGCTTTTCATACATATTTTATACAAAAACACTTTATAGCCTTTCCACTAGTTCCTGTCCATTTTACACGAGATTAGTGATTATTCACTATCTCACACTTATTACGTCATGCCAACTTCTGTCTCCTTTCTAACTTACAATTAGTCATCCCTTCTTACACCTTACATTATGTAATACAATTTTCCGAGGACAAAATTTACCAGTATCTGATTGGTCTAAAGATTTCTTTGTTAATCATAATTACGATTGTATAGCTCATGAAAATGAATCGTCGAAAAGAAAATTTTCTTCGCTGTTTGTGCCTTTTTCTTATTCAGTATTCTCGCAGAAGACATTACACACAATGTACCACTTGAAAAATCTTGTCAGTAACACCCATCACTCAGTGTGTCATTTAATTGGTACCCCAGCTATTGTAAATCACGGCTCATCGAATTTCTGCCCAAGTGACTGATAAACGGTCAAGGAGTTCGGTCTCATAACCTGAAGGTCTGTTGGGTCGTGGATGTGCACTCTTGAATACTTCCAAACTAGAACAAAAGAGCTCTACAGTGATCTCTAACTAACGCTGGTTCGTGACGAAGTCTGCATTGATATTGTAAATTTTTTTCCTTATTGGTTGACCGTTGGATAATTGAGTAAATAATTACTTCCTCTTCATCTTCTTTTCATCAACCGAAATTGTACTCATTTAATTTTTCATCCTTTTTGTTTTTGTGATAGCAATTGGAAATGAAATTATCTATATTATATAAAACTCATGGCAATGTTCCACTGTCGGCACCACCAATTCATCATATTCCATCACAGTCTAATGGTTTTGATTCGAAATTATACCGCCTAAAATCATCACAGAGACTATCTTCTCCAAGCTGGACAAATGGTCCTATTAAATTGTAAGTCACCTATCTTCATTTCGTAATTTATTACCATACGTAAATTTAGTAATCGATTGTGTTTGCACCATAATGGTGCTAAATTTACTGAATATTAATCTTCAGGTATGAGTGGAAATTACTACATCAAACATTGTCAGACCAAAGAACACTTGCAACTGTATACTCGACATTTATTCCTCTGTAATTACTCAATGTTCGCGTCAAACACTACACAATTGAGTACATACGTAAACGATATGTGTCAATGCCTCCTAGTTACGAAAACGTCTTTGGTTTTTGAATTTCATCGGAAATATATATATATCCTGATACATCCTTAGGCTCTTTCTGCATAACACTTCAATCGTTGGAAGGGACAAACTGTTTGTTTTTGGCTATAGATGTGTATCTCCTATCTCTCGTAATAGGCAGTATGATATGATGAATGTAACACAGGTCAGGTATAGAGTGCTAGATAAGGCGGGGAAGTCAGCCTTTGAGATTTTGAAGCTGTATCGATCAAGATGGTTAGGATTCATGTTATGCATACTGAACAATCAGCTCAGCTCAAGTCACTAATTTTGATTTGTGATGGAAAACTGTCAAGCGTAAAAAATCAACTACTAAAGATGAAGTCTCATGGCAACTAATTGAAATTTATCAATAGTAAAAAAAATTAAATCAGTACTTAAGTGGGACAGCTTTGATGCGAATTTATGCTTTCTGTTGCAATGTTAATCAGGTTACCATCGAACTCCAAAGAAATTCAGTCCATGAAAAAGAGAAATACTTTGACAGGTGAATATATATATATATATATATCAACAATATTATAACCGTGTTCGGATTAGCGAGTTTTTCGTGCTATTTCACCCTGAGTAGTACGCTGACCCTGCCAGTTCATACTATTGGTTATAGATCAGATTAATACTGTTAACAGTCTGTGAAGCAGCTTATAAGACTCCAAGGTGGATATTTTGAAGTGTAAAATACATTCACTTTAGTGAATAAGTTCATTTAAAGGTATTTAAATAGTCAACATGTACTACGTAATCGTGAGACTGATCATGTCTAATTAGATTTATATCAAAATATTACTGACTTACCAATTAAAGCCTATTTTCAGTTTATTTTAGCTCAGTCTACTCACACGTATGTAGCATTGCATGTATCTTATTTTTGTACAATATCGATTTCATCATCAATTAGTACCTTATTGATTCCTACGAATGAACACTTAGTATCTATGTTTATCTAGTTATAAGTTTTTTGTTTTTCCAGAATATTTCATTGCTGGTTAACCGTAGCTGATGAATTCAGTGAATTTCTTGATTCGCGTGTACTATTTTATTAGCTTCAATGTAGTTGCTTTATTATGAGCTCTTGAATATGTCACTGTTGGAATTGTATGTTGTTGATAGCCTACTTATTTTTATATATGATTTATTAGTATATTTTTGGCTTTCCACTCTTATCGGAAATGATAACTTGCACCACTGTACCATTTCATTAAATCATCAAGTAAGCATTAATCCATCACGTACATACGCGTGCAGTAGGCATTGTGCGAGAATAGACAGCAATTCCTACGAAATGGATTTTGTTTATTTTGTAACACATATATTTATGAGAGTGTTTTTGAATATATGCAGTCCACATTATGTGGCACTGTACCTTCCTTAACATTGTGTAGGGTGTGTTTATTGTATATCTCATTAGCCTTGAAGCTGGAGTGGATTTTGTTGTGAGACAATCTTAACGATAACATTATGGTTGTAATGATGGCCCATGAAAATATAAGCTGAAGGCTTAAAAGCGAAAAATCCAGCAAAATATGTTAATATGACGAATTTTCCTTTTATTGTTTTGTCTATAATGCTCATTTCACTTAGTAATATCTGCATTTATCCGCTGTCTGTAAATATGTCTGCAAGGATTCTTTGTGCAATGTAATTATAGTTCACAGTGTTCTTTTTGGGAAGTCAGGGGGCATAGAGATTTCATTAGGTTATAGTATATTGTAGGTGTTGCATTGAACTTTTATGTTGTAGATTGTAATCCGCTTAGTTTATTTGAACAGATAGGTAACATCAGCCTTCTCTAAACAACCAATGCGATCACATTTTTATTGTTTGAATGTGTGTTTATGACTGGTATAGTGCTGATTTGCATGTCTGTGTATAACCACTTCAACAGCACAACTCGTTTACCTGGAATAGGCTTCTCAGGCCTTGAGTTACACAGTGTAAAGGAAGATTATACTACCCAGTTGGTGGAGTGGGATTTGAACTTCGGACCCGTCGAGTGAATGTAGTGTGCTTAAGCTAACGAGCCACATCTCCACAGAAAAAACACAGAAGTAGTAAAATGATAAATATAATGAAGTTTAACCGATCACAAAAATCTTTTAAAATTTTGCTGCCTAAGCCAGTCTGGTGTATCATTATTATTATAATTCCCTTAGGTCCCTAGAAAAACATAGAGCTTCAGCAGCCCATCTCCACTTTGTTCTGTTCTATGCAGTCATTTTTGGTTGGCTGCATGACTGTCCATAAGCTCTCATATCCTCTATGTCACATTCTGACACTCGGGATATTGCCATTTAGGTTGCACTCGATAACCAGACGCGCAATGTTATCCAGCGATCTCATGGACTTGTCGTTCAATTCGTCTTCATTTTCTTCGGAATATTTGCTAAGCAATACGTTCTTGATTGGTTTTCTCCCAGAGTTCCTTGTCACTAACCTTTTGTGGTCCTCTTGTCTTCAGTATAGACCCAGCGAATCCAGCTGTTGATAAAAGTCTGTATTGTGTTCAAAATGCTTTTCGTGACACGCGAAGTTTCAGACCCATATAGAAGAACTGACTTATAATATTGATGTCGCAAATTCTTATAAGAGCACATAATCACATTTAACTGTTTTGTCTTTTGAGTGCGTTGATCAGCTTGTAGATTTTCAGGAATTCCTACCTCTTTTGAAAGGTCTAGACCTTTTGCCTCTACGTCAATACAGACGATGCGCTATCGCCTGTCTGTTCATTCTTAACGAATATTAAAACAAAAAAAGGAAGTTCAAAGATTCCAGCCTATGTTGTTAATTTTTTTATCATCAGGAGACAAAACACAAATAATAATTAAAGATTTTAACAGTAATACCAGTAGTCGATAAATGATACAATTCTCTTATCTGACACTGTGTTGATGATAATAATTATGTATGAACCCTTTTAGAGCATTGCACTTTGATTTTGTACTTTTCATTCTATATCCCTATTTATAACTAATAATTGTAACTTTCGTAGTCATCTTTTAGAAAGTAAAAGGCGCTAGTTAAGTTTGTTGCTAAGGTGCTGCAAATTGGTTTTTAGTTACATAGAATTTACTAAAATACAAGAATACTTCGAATTTCTAAGATATTCCGAGTTACATCATATCGATACTTAAATGCAGCATATGATAGTGAAAACAAACCTAATCAGCGTTATTATTTGTCATCATTTGTGTGGGAAAATAATATTTTCCCGTCAGAAGACTTTATCTGTCCTTTAATAGAGAACCCTAACGGTCTACTCTTTTCTTCAGTTGGAAAGTATCTTATGAAGCGTGATATGATGGTTAAAAGGGGAAGTCAACTGATGAGGTTGTGAAGCTACCCCGTTTGAGATGCTTAGAACACGTGTTACACAATCCAAGCCATCGCCCTCCGTAATGAACGATATTAGCTGGTTTAGGATTGGGTTGGGAAAGACTTAGGAATGGTCGGATAACAAAAACTACAATGTAAACTTGCATTTGATTTGAATAATCGACCACTTCGCGTATATGAGTAGATACATCAGTAATCTTGAATTTGAAATGTTCTCCACTGTTTTGCCATTTCTCAAATCCATCAATAAGAACGTTTGACTTCCTATCTGGCATGTTATCCTTCATGCATCAACTCATGCAGATCAATTGTGTATTGCTATGATTATACTTATCGGTATTATTTTCTTTATTTGAATTTAAAAGTACTTGTGTATTTCGTTATCATTCTATATTTTCTCTCACTTTGTTCTATTTTTGCAGAGATCCTCTATCAGTTGACCAATCATCTCATAAAAATCCTGTACATATGCTGCATTGATTAGACAATGTAATAAGCAAAAAGAGTTTATCAATATCCTTATATATATTTGTGTACTTGTTCGGTTGTGTAAGGAATTTTCCCCCTACCTTATTTTGATTGGAGTGCATTTCATCTGTTTTTTATGTGAGGCTTTTTTACCATATTCCTTCTGTGTTGTTGTTCACCCTTCTCGATATTTCCACTTCTTAATTGCGTCATACAGCCTTACTACTGGAAATCCTATCATATCTGACAAACTTGTAAAAATTAAAGGCAAACTTTTCAACAAGCCTTCAAACAACCTGTCTTTATTTCTCCTCTCAGGCGATTCACTGTTATATATTTTTTCCTATTTGTAAAGTTGTATCAAGCAGACAACCGAACTCAATGGAGACGCACGACTGAAGCCCTAAGTTCCTCTAGAAATTAAAGGATACAATAATAATAATAGTAATAATAATAATAAAGTTGTATCAGTCAGTGCATCATGCATAACAGACTTCTTCTTCTTTCATTTCTGTGCCTAAAACATTTTGTATTATCTCTCCTAGTTTACTAGCAAAGAATTTAACCATATTATGTGTGTGCATACATGTGTCTCAACACTCGCATAACTTCACCTACCATTCTAAAGTATTACCTTCCATACTAACAACTACACAAATGCGTACATGGATAGAATATTGTTAAACAGGGAACTATGTTAAGGGGTGAATCGGTATCTTTAAACTCTATTTATTATTTGTTGATTATCACTATCATTAAACCTGAATTCTACCATCTATGCATTATTCATTCCCGAATGTGTATCATAATTTCAATCAATTTCATTGTTACTGGTGGTGGTCAGTTAAGTGATTTGCATAACACCTTTTTTCTCTTCTCGTTTTCGATGAAGTATAAAATATTACCACTTTTAAGGGAATTGTTTCTTTCTTCTCTTTTCCCTTAACCGTATATGTCACTTACTTCTCCTTTGGTTAGATGTTTCTTATTCTACATTTCTATCCACTATCGGTTGCATTGATTTCTTCCCATACTATTACTATTGACATACGTACATATAGTTCTTAACTATTGAAGGTATGCATGTTTCTGCTATGTGGTTTTGTCTTCTTTAAAGTTAAATATTTTGTTGATAAAATGTACACAAACTACAGATGTTTGCTGTGATTAAAAACAATAATATATGATTTTTCTCTATACCCTCACATGAAATTTCTCCTTTTAGGTCTATTAGTTGAATAATGGACATCAACATTGCATTATGCTTCTATGTACTACTGGTTGTTTGATATAAGTAGTTTTATACGGCTCACATCAACCAGTAGTGTTTGCTAGCTAGCTAGATTGAAATGGTTTATACACTAGACCGCCGTTTCGCTAATTTAGGGCAGACCTCACCAGTTTAGATATGATGCAGAAGATTTGTAGCTCAGGTGGATTATTTAAAATTGAAGTATGCGCTGAAGATGTTGCGTAGTAGGGCAATAGAAGCTTCGCAAATTAACTATCCAGCTCAGAGAACACAAACACATCAAAAGACTTCACCAGTGGTGTGCTGAGTGTTATATATATATATATATATATATACATATATATACCATCGTGCGTTTGTGCTGGATTTCTTGATTATCCTTTGTAGTATCAAGCAGATTACATATTGTGATTGGAATAATTTCGGTTTCCAAAGGAAACTGGTGAATTTTCACCTCGATTTTCACAAATCAGATTCCAGATATCATTAATTCTAACGGTAGCGACTACCGTCACCCTAGGTGAGAGTGTTGATAAATCACTAGATTTTGCAAACCTCTTCACCAGAAATTTTGGTTTGTCATTTTCTTTTCGAGTTGGCATTCACCATAACTTTCGCTAAGGACTAGAACCAAAGTGTGTCACTTATTTGGCCTTAACCTTAGGCGGTTATTTCTCTCTTATTTGAGGGAGAAGAGATATAGCGGTTTATTAGCACTTTTCGTGAAATATCAGACTAGATGTTAAAAATGTGCCTAGTACCTTCCTTCTGGACTGTCATTTAGTTATTTGGTAGTTCTGGCAGTCAGTACTTAATATTAATATCCTAAAATTCACCTCTACAGAATTATTCTCAATGAGTTAAGACAGTCAACAAAAATTCTTTGGCGGAGTTTTTGAACCCGTGTTCATGAAAAACAGCTAGCGTTTTACTGGCTTTCTACTATACGAGAAACTTCACCCACAAAAAACAATTTTTCATCATTTCAGATTAATTACAGGTGCATAGGAAGAAAATGTTGCCCTACAGAATATTTTATAACTCTGCTTGTAAAGTGCTTTTTCCAGATTCTCATTCAATCCTAACATTTGAATAAGTTTGCCGTGGTTACTATAGTGATGCATTGCGTTCGGTTCAAATTGAGTTAATCATTAATGGTAAATATAATTTGTAGGAATCAAAAAATTAGAGATGTAACAGTTGGGTGTGCATATGAAATGATTATAGCTGCCTTAAAATTCTTCCATTATTTTGATAAAGTTATGCAGTAATATTTACTGATGATATTTCTAGCTCAGTTTATTCCTCATAATCATATCAAGTTACTCATTTAGCTCCCCAACTTCATCTATATACATGAGTGAAAATTGATTAGACATTTGAATAAAATGAATATAAGACCGTGAAACAGAATGGAAGATAAAGTACATCCGGGGGGGAATATAAGTATTATCAATAAAATACGATATGTTGGGTAATAAGAGTTTTTTGGTCAATAAGATGTTTTCCATTAAAATAAATAAATAAATACACAGAAACCTATCAACATTTCAGATAAACTCGTTTTGCGTGCATTTAATTTTTTAAGACTGTAGAAATCTGTATGTGTTAGCGCAGGAGTTCGTATATTTTGTTTAAAACAAGGGGACAATTTATGATGCATAAAGCTACAGATGGAACAGCTGTTCAATGCTGATCAGTTTCCCAGGCTTCTCTAGAAACTTTGGAGATGTTACTCAACGACTACTTGCATTTTTATGCAGCTGACAAACTGTCACACCTATTGATTGAGAAGGGTTGGTGATACTTTCCGGCGGTTAAAACCTTGGTTGGTTGTACACAGTTCGAACCTGTGGTCCAGTAGTTGCTAAATAAGAGCCTTAGCCAGTGAGCTGCAACTTCTCATGTTTCTGTAGATAATGTCGAATCAAGTCGATATCTACTTTGAGCGCAACAATAATAAATCTGTTTGTATATATATGTCGATACTTTCACAATGATTGTAATCGTTATAGCATAGAAATATGAGAAGGGATAACGGAGTCGCTTTTAAAAAGTGAAATCGTTTCAAGTGAAAGGTCAACTCTGTTGCTTACATTCTTAACATAATTACATATTAGATGAGTTTATTTGATATAATATACACAGTAATATGATATGGATGAGATTTCGATGACAATTTATTGCCCGTAGATCTATGAATGTATTCATATGGCTTCCTATGTTGCTTCCTATAGATATACTCGCTGTTTCTCATTGTAGTTCTTCACATATCAAAGATAGGTGTTTCGTAAAGGATTGAAACTTTAATGTCCATAGGACAATTCGGGGATAATCCATACAACTAAAAAGCACCCGTTTTTGTTACCTCAGCAAAATCAAACTTAAAAGAGGAATTGACGAAATAAATTTAACTAAGGAAAATTATTCCACTATAGATAAAGTTTTTTTCGATAAAATCATACAGTGTTTTACAGTAATATTTACTGATGACAAACATCGACCACAATTTATTGCTCATAATCATATCAAGGTACTCACATAAATTTCTTGCTTCATTTATATACATGATTAGATATTTGAATAAAATCAATATAAGACTTGCGTGAAACAGAATGGAAGATAAAGTACATTCGGAACCAATGTTAGCATTATCAACATATGTTAAAATGTATTTCAATTCACATTATAACAAGTTATTTATTTTACTATAAAACATCTTATTTCCCATATTATTGACTAACAACACTCCTCTTAATTCTCGCCGTTTCTCATTGTAGTTCTTCACAAATCAAAGATAGGTGTTTCATAAAGGATTGAAACTTTAATGTCCATAGGGCGATTCGGGGATAATCCATACAACTAAAAAGCACCCGTTTTTGTTACCTTAGCAAAATCAAACTTAAAAAAAGGAATTGACGAAATAAATTTAACTAAGGAAAATTTATTCCATTATGGATAGTTTTATTTTGGTAAAATCTCAAATTGTTATACAGTAATAATTACTGATGACAAATATCGACTACAATTTATTGCTCATAATCATATCTCGGTACTCACATAAATTTTTTGCTTCATTTATATACATGAGTAAAAACTGATTAGATATTTGAATAAAATCAATATAAGACTTGCGTGAAACAGAATGGAAGATAAAGTACATTCGGAACCAATGTTAGTGTTATCAATAAGTATAGTATGATGAGAATTAAGACGAGTGTTGTTAGACAATAAGATGGGAAATAAGATGTTTTATAGTAAAATAAATAACTTGTTATAATGTGAATTGAAATACATTTTAACATATATTGATAATGCTAACATTGGTTCCGAATGTACTTTATCTTAGATTCTGTTTTACGCTAAAGTCTTCAGAGTGGAGAGGCAGCATAGCTGGCATGCTAGCCGTCTGAGGGAAGCACTTTACTGCCATTACATCCCTGTTCCCGCAGCAGTACGACTTCGCCCACAGACCCTCAGCATAGTGTAAAAAAATTCTTTCACAATGCTGGTAACTGCCTTTAGTTTAATTGCTTTCTTCACAGTCTACCTGGCAAAGTAGGACCTAGAGGAACAATAGTTCCAGGCAGTGTAGCTTGTTGGGTCATTGCGATGTGCAAGCCCGGCCACCACGTCAAGGTGTCAGCCATAGGTTGAAGTTACATAGTTTGAGAGGGTTAGGACATGTTTTACGCATGCCTAGGCATCGTTTTCATCGACGGACAATGTTAGCTGACAGGATCAGGTTAGAAAGGAGCTAGTGGTGGTCAAACCAAAACATGGTTCCATCAGTCAATAGAATCCACAAGAGTTAGTTTATGCTAGCCACGCACGAAGGTGTAGACTTCGTGGTTGGGATTCTCGGGATGGTAAAAATCAGTAGCTGGAGACAATTGGTGATATGGCTCAAAATCGTTCTCAAAGCATAGCGCAGATTCATTCACTCTTTGTGACCTATAGTTTCAAATAAAATTCTATTCTTCTTCCATATTACTATTCTTTTTGCCTCATATATCTGTTTATCACCTCTCTATTGAATCTCTCTTCTCTTACTTTGTGTGCTACATGGAGTGTGGCAACTCGAGCTGGTGCACATTTGTGCAGATTTCTATGTTGATTCCAGTCAGTGAGGACAGCTGGGAGGTAGTAGACGCCCGCACAATTCCAAAGAGCGCAAACACCACGAACTAAATTATTTTGAGTAGAATTACACATGTTTAATTGTTAGTTTTGAAGCATCCTGTACATAACCATCGCTGTACTTACTATCTGCAGATGAAAATCTAATTAGTTTTGCCGTATATTTGAATTCGTTGTTGTTTTGTTTACGTCTCCCACTCTTTATGTCCAGCACATTAAGTTATCCTCATATTTCTCAAGCCAATTTTCCAACTTCGGCATTCTTCACTCATGACACAGTATTAACGCATCACGCATATTCTATACAGTTAGAAGATTATTTATGAATTTCACTGTTCCCATCAACGTCTCAAAACATTTTCGATAACGAATTTCTTAGTTAAAATGAAAACTCGAAAATAAAATGTTATCTAGCAACTATTTGCGATTGTATGTAACTGGCGTTGAGCCCCATGTGTTGTATGATGACTAGTGATACTGTTTGGCTGTCCAAATTCCGATATGTGTAACAGGATTCGAACCCATGATTGGATGTCAAGTTTTCGGCGATTTCACTCCCAAAAGCTATACATTCCCATTTGTATACATTAGTTTACATGGATACAATTATTGTTTATTTAATTCCACATAGTAACGAAGGAGATAATCATTTTCAACATGATATGAAAGTTTGAAGGTACGAATATAGATTACAAGGGGCTTAGAAACAAGATCACATAGGATTAGAAAACAGTTACAACGTATGCAAAATTATTATTTCATAACTGTAGAAATATTTTTATCAAATATTTATTTTGCATACGTCGTAACTGT